ACCAATATAATATTATCGACAAGAATGATATTTTATATTCGTAGCCAGCCATCACTGCTGACCTTTCTACAGTTCCTTCCAGTCGTTATACAGTACACTTTTTTTTTTAAATAATTGATTAATTTATGTCTTTACCTAACTTTGGTATCACGAGATATAGAGCTCAAAAGATATACATTATTCATATTCAACTAGTATGGCCCGCGTTATGCACAGCTGTCAAATGAATCACACTAAATATGTAGAATTAAGTGATGTAACATTTTTTTAAAGATTATGAACATTATGATTTATTAAAAAAATGGATAAATAAATATATAAATATTGGCTTTAGTATGAAAAAGAAATTAAAATTTACCATTTGTACACAAGATGAAATGATAAACTATGACGAGTTTGTAGCAATGATAACAAGGGAATCTAGAAGCTGTCTTGCAAGAAGAGGAGCAAGTCAAGTTCGATACCTATTATCACTAAATATAAATTTTGTTGGAAAAATATACCTTTTAATTTCTACGTTTTATTCATGTTTTGTTATAAATTTTTATATTTTGTTCAGTTTTTTGGATTTTTATACTTTTATTTTCTGATATTTTAGGTCCCTAAATAAATAAAATGAAAGAATTTTGGATAAACGTAAAACATTAAAAAATAAAAATGTAGGGACTCAAAACATCAAAAAAATACAGGGACTGATAGCAAAACACGAGTAAAGTGCAGAGATTAAAAAGTATGTTTGTTCTATTTTTTTATAATGTTTTAACGTTGGGGGTAGTAAGCTAAATATACAATTTATAAGATAACTTAATTTATTATTTAGTGATTCATATTATTTTAATTAATTATAAAAATCAGTAATTTGATTTCGCATTAGAAGTTTCATTTTTAACTTTACTTCTATTCAACTATATAAATATTAAAGGTTTATTTGTTTTGGGGTTTATTTTCTTGTCATAAATTTAATAAAATTATTGAAATTTTACCTAGTATTAGTTAAGCATGAATTAAAATTTTAAAATTGATGCCAATGACTGTATTAAAAAATTGATATTATTTTATCATATTTAAAGACTACGATTATATATGCTTTCATTAATTTAGATTAGACTTGAATTAAGAGCTGAATTCTTTTGATTTGTAGTATATTAAATTATTGTTTTTTAGAGACAACAACTTTATTTTCAACTTCTCCCTTTCTTATTTGTAAATTAAGCTTTTAACACTCAATAAAAGAGAGAAAACTAAGGTGATAGTATAACCTTTTTAAAGAATTATAGATGAACATAAAAAAAAATCAACAGATTAAGTGATAGTCATTAGCTTTGACAGATTTACCTAATTGGCCTAGAATTGGAATTCTATGTTTGAGCAGTTCTATCACTCACCTTGACCCTTGTTAGAAGATCTTTGATACAAATGTCTCTTAAAAATATTCTTGTTAGGCTATACCCATAACAAATTAAAGAAGGATTTAGCTTAGCCAATTGAGAGATGAGGAAAAAATTTAGCTATATGCTTTGCCTCCTTAGTCACCAAAAACAGAGAATGATTAGTCATCAAAATCAAATAATGAAAAAAAAAAAAGAAAATTGAGATAGAACACTTTATTGGGTAGATTTTATAGTGGGGCAATCATTACAATTGAGCATGATAACAGCTACTATATTTCAAGCAAATTGAACAGTAGGAAAAACATTATTGTTACTTTTCTGGCATCAAATCTTTAAGAGACGTCAATCAAGGGAGGCTGAGTACCTACAAAATTGAAAATACTTATAAAATTCATTGATCAAGGAAGGGTGATAATAGGTAAAATGAGTCACGATTTTCTCCTATTAAGAAGGATGGTTCTGAAGCAACACACAATTAATTTTCCATTGAGCCCCCTAAGGAGTAGAATAAATATGAGGTTAACTAATAGCGAATGGAATAAAAATTATATCAAAAGAAATTTTCAAACAAATTAAATACATGTGAATATGAGCAATCAAATACCAGCAAAAAATAAAGGGAAATAAAAGAACGTGCTCAGAAATTTTGTTACAAACCTATTGCAACCGAACAAAGTTCAAAAATCAATGTTCATGAAAAATGGAGCGAAGATTGAGTTAATTTTGAGAGAGATGAAGAGGGTTAATGATGCACACAAATATGTAATAAATTTCACAAGTGTATGTTCGTAAAAATAGTGCGTGATAAATCAAGATTGATCCCACAAAAAATCAAGTGAATTGGTGATTAGTCAATGAATTTCCCATTTATATTTAAGTTAAACAAAGCAAAATTTAGATTTGGTAATGCAAAATAAAAATTGAAGTTATAAAAATGCGCTAAAATTAAAGTTTCAACAACTACAAATAATCAAGACAACTTAAGATGTCTAATCCCTTCTTCAATTCATAGAGCATGTAATTACCTAAATAAATTTACTTAATATTAATTTATTAATTTAGATTATTAATAGGAATAATTATCTTTTGATTAATTATACTCCTTTCTCGAACTAATATATTATTCTTAGCACAAATACCCAAGAGAAAAAAAGGCACAAATTCATTTTAATATGATTATATGGGTCTAATAAGTATATTTCTATCCTATTGGCAAATGAGAAATAATTCTAATCCCACATTATTCAATCTAATCGTCCAATTTAGATTTTTCTCTTTTAAGGGAAAAACCTAAACCCCCAAATTTACACTCAATAGTGGGCAAGAATTAAGTAGACAAATAAACATAAGATTAAGTAAACAAAACTAATATTAAGCTCAAATAAATAGTTCAAACATGCTCTAATTCAAGAATTATATGGTTCATAGTTACCCTATATTAAGAGAAAATTGACCACACATGGCTCTATGATAGCAAAAGTCAGTAATATATATAGCAAAGTAAAGAGAAGAAGGAGAAGAAAAGTTTAACCAGAGCAATCTTGAACAAAATCCTTAATTTTTCACTAAACTCAAACTTCTTCAACCCTCTTTTGGATCTTTTTCCTCTCCTTGGACATTCTGTAACTGTTGTAAGTGAGGAATAATTGAAAATGAGATCCCCAAACCCTAAAAGTTTGCTGAAAATAAAAACTGTGCATTTTATTAAAATTCAGATTCATTGTAGTGAAATGTATTTTCGCTACAGTGAACATGAATTGTGCAGATTTTTTTTAATATTTACTTTCTTGGACTTAGAGCTCTAAATTTTTTTTCTTTAGACCCATAAATTGGCCTCCTTACATGTATAAAACCTAGAATTAATGTTAGAATTTTTCCACCCACTTATAACACATTTTCATGTCCATTCTCACGCATTATCATCCATTTAATCATATTTTTACTAATAAATTTAAACAAATGACTTTCAATTACATTAAAAACAAGAATAAATTTAGTAAAATATTAAAAGTTATCAATTAACAACAGAAAAGTAGATTGAGCCTCTGTGTGAGAGAGAGAGAGAGAGAGAGAGAGAGAGAGAGAGAGAGAGAGAGAGAGAGAGAGAGAGAGAGAGAGAGAGAGAGAGAGAGAGAGAGAGAGATTGAGAATGAGGTGGATGGAAAATCTCACCAAGAGAGATGAGGCCTTGTGGCTTATGGACTTCAAAACTTAATTTTGGTGGGGGTTGATTGCATCTTGATATGGGATGAGGATGAAATTTAGAAAGCCTATGTGCACTTTCAAATGTAATTGAGGAAACATTACAAATCTTTCTCATGTGTCAAGTTGCCGGTGATGCTTGTGGTTTCACCTATATATATATATATATATATATCAAAGGATACATATATATTTTAGATATTTTTACACTTTATGTTTTCTTCCTTGTTTTTCTAATGATCAATTTTAATAAACGTTTGTCAAAATGAATGGAATGGAGTGTGTTGCATTTATTACAATAAATTTATGGGTATTCTAATATCTTTATTCACTTAAAGATATGAGATGCTTTTGAAAAAAAAATTATTAGGTATTTTTGCCCTTTAAGTCTAGAAATTTTTTTGCCCATGTTAATGTAGGACATAATGACTTATATTATGGAACTTCAATTAATTATCATATAGTGATTAATTATTTCAACATACATTTGAATCCTCTGCCAAAGTTTCTTAATGCCTGGACCCCATTAAAAAATATTTGCTTTTAAATCAAAGCCCAGTCATCTAGACATGTAATTGTTTATTGAATTATTATTGTTTATTAACTATTAAAATACAAATAGTCAAAATCTTCAACAAGTTATTGAATAAGCCAATATTATTAACCATTATATTCCATTCAATCAAAGACAACCAGACCTGTTAGTCATAAAGTAATTTTCTGATTTAACTAAAATTTTGTGAATGATTTCTTATATACTTATTTTTTCCACCGATTCCTACTGCGTCCCTCATATTTTCAAATTCAAATAGTCCAGATCTTGTCAACAAGTTAAATTTTTCTTTTTGGATACACCAATATAATGGTATCAACGTGGATGATATTTTATATTCTCTGCCAGCCATCATTGCTGACCTTTCTACAGCTCCTTCCATTGTCTATACAATACATTTTTTTAATAATTATTTAATGGGAGAATGACAGATCTAAAAAAAATAATTAATTTAAGTTAGATATTAAATATTAAATTTTAAAAATTTACAACTCAATTTTTCAGTTTTACAATTTTATTGTGATGAATTTGCATATTGTATTTTAAATTTTAACGAAAAAAATAAATTCTTTTATTTTTAATTATATTAAAATTTAAAAAATAAATTATAAATTCATAACAATGCAGTTGCAAATTTAATAAATGGACTTGCAAATTTTTAGAGTTTGGCATTAGAGACCTAACTTAAATTATTTAATCCATTTGGAATCTCTTCATCATTCTCCCTTATTTAATTAATGTCTTTACCTAACTTTGGTATCGCGAGATATATAGCTTAAACGATATACATTGTTCATATTCAATAACAAGACATATATATATATATATATATATACATATATATATACAGGATAGCCTTCTCCTCCTTCCTCTACAATAAGCCTTAAACATATCCATCATCATGACAAATCTTTGTTTTCATTTTTGTGTCTCCATGTCCTTATTACTACTTTGTCTCATGGTTTGTCCCATTATATGTAACACCACTTTTACCACTGATGACTCTGCAGTTCTTGCCCTCAAATTTTCAGTGACCGATCCTCACAATCACTTGGCTAATTGGTCCAACTCTTCTTCAATTTGCGATTGGACTGGTGTTATATGTGATTCCAATGATGGGAGAGTCAAGATCTTGAAACTTGGCGGGATGGGTCTCAAGGGCGCCTTACCCTCGCAAATTGGTAATTTGTCTTTTCTGGAGGAACTTGACCTTCACAGCAATAGTTTTTACGGTGAGTTGCCAAAAGAGTTACGGAAGTTAGACAAGTTAAGAATTCTCAACTTGAGCTACAATCAATTTAGTGGAGATATTCCATTATGGATAGGAAGCTTATTCACACTTCAACACTTGATTCTCGAAAAAAATAATCTTGGGGGTGTTATTCCTTTAAGCATATCCAATTTGTCAAAGCTGGAGACTTTAAATTGGAGATCTAATTTCATAGAAGGATCCATTCCACTTGAGATTGGAAGGCTTCAATACTTGAAGATTTTACGCATTTCATCAAACAACCTTTCAGGGATGATACCTCCAAGTGTTTTTAACTTATCCTCACTTGAGCAGATCATTTTGTCCAACAATTCCTTATCAGGTATATCCTAATTAAATTATGTGATATAAGTATTTTATATATCTAACAAAGTTGGAGACCTTAATTTGGAGATCTAATTTTATAAAAGGATCCATTCCACTTGAGATTGCAAGACTTCAACGTTTGAAGATTTTAAGCATTTCATCAAACAACCTTTCAGGAATGATACCTCCAACTATTTCTAACCTATACTCACTTGAACAAATCGTTTTGTCCTTCAATTCCTTATCAGGTATGTTCTAAGTAACTTACATAAATATTTTATAAATATATCAAGGATAAATTTATGAAATATTTTTTTTAAATGGTCACTTCAATAATTTTGTTGATATTGGTTTTCATATATTTAATTTCAAGTTTGTGTGTTATTTTTAGGTGCCTTAAGTTATTTACAAGTTGTTATTCACATCCTTCAGATTATATATAGTACTTCTATGAAGAAACATTTTAGGCAAAATATCTTATTTCAAACTTATCCTCACTCGCATGTCATGTTGTCTTAAGACTCCAAAGGAGGCACATATTAAAAAATATTTCATATAATATTTATTTATATGTCTAGCCTAGTCTAATCTAATAATAATACAAATTTGTAGTTGTTTGCTTTTAAGATATTTAATGTTTCTTCTTCAATGTACGCTTTACTCATTTTGGTGAGGCATAGGTTTTACTTTTTGTGCGTCTCATTCCTGGCTGTGATGGAGATGAGTGATGCCAACGCTGAAAGATCCAAGACCGGCGATTATAGAATTGCATTCATCATCTTCTCCAACACGCAACTACCACATCCATCTTCTGAAACTTAATCTTGTGATGCCTTAACCCTATAATTTAAGATAAATTTACACCTTAACCCTATAATTTATTGAAAAGGATTAACACAAGTGAAAATATTGTTTGTTTCTATGACATGATTCTGTATTCATTAGCACTAAGCAAGATGAGCTTTTCTTTCTTACATCACAGGAGTTATTCCTAAAGGAATCAGTAATCTGACAAATGTAAAGTACATATCTTTAAGTGGAAATCTGCTGTCTGGACAATTACCAAAAGGCATTGAAAACTTGACTATGCTTGAAGAGTTATATCTTTCTTACAATGACTTGCAAGGTACTTTTTCATCAAATTATTATGATGTGCTATTACTCTTAATTTTCTCCTTTTCAACTAGTTTTCTTTGCGTCACCGTAAACAACATTTTTGGTTTCTTTTTCTCTTTGTGGTTTTTATACCACGATGCAGGAAGTATTCCAAAAGAGATTGGTGAACTTCATAATTTGAAAACAATATCCTTGGGTGTTAATGAGTTTTTTGGTCAAATACCATCAACTATCTTCAACATTTCAGGGTTGCAACAGATGGATTTGAGTCAGAATAATTTGTCAGGGAGCATCCCCTCATATATATGTCATGGGATTCCAAAAATCCAATATCTGTCTCTTGAATTCAATGAATTGTCTGGTGCCTTACCATCTCAATGGATACAATGCAAGGATCTCAACATGTTTTCAGTAGCCTCCAATAGATTTAGTGGACACATTCCAAGGGAGATTGTAAACCTCACTATGCTTCAAGAATTATATTTGCCTGGAAACGTTTTCACAGGTATGTACTCTAAAATATGCAATTCTTCAACTTTAGTTTCTGAGAACATATATTTTTATTGCACTTTGACACTTTTATTTTTTAAGTTATTTTTTAGGGAATTATATTATATTTATAGAATAAACAAGCTCAATAGCCCGCATCAAACCCCAAAGTTTTCAGAAGATAAATGGTAACATAAAAAAAATCGTGTATTAATCTTATTAAATATAAAATTAATGTGTACATCTTTTAAATTCCCAAATCCTTTGTTCAATACCTTGAAGTTTGTATGTAAACCCAGTGAAAAGTAAAATTCTACCTGATTGTAACCTTATAAACTTCAATAACATAATTGGGCTTGCACATGCATGCGGTCTTGAAAGATTTACTAAAAAAAAAAAAAAGGGCCATGTGGATCCGCCCCTGCACACACACACACACAAACATATTTCTTTATGTCATTATTGAAAAAATAGTAATAATAATAATAAAAAAAGAAGTACCACCTAAACACATCATATGCCCACCTTGCTATAAAAAGAACAGACATAAAGCAAAAGAGATAACATTAGTGACCGAACATTAAAGTGTGTAATATGATGGTATTAACTATTAACTTCAAAGAACAATATACACTAAAAAGTTAAATTCAAATTGCTTTCAGGTACAATTCCTGTGGAAATAGGCAATCTTCATAAGCTTGAGAAATTAGAGTTGGCAATGAATGAATTGAGTGGATCTATTCCCTCAATAATTTTTAACATGTCAACTTTGAAACTCTTGTCTCTACAAAGCAATTTTCTGTCAGGTAGTCTTCCATCAAATTTTGGAAGTGGCCTTCCATATTTGGAACAACTGTATTTATGGGGAAACAGACTTTCTGGAAGAATCCCAAAGACTATATCCAATGCTTCTAAGCTAACAATGATGGAATTGGCATACAACAACTTTGAAGGGGCTTTACCTAGCACGATTGGGCATTTAATATACTTGAAAACCCTTCAATTATCTGCTAATGATTTAACCATTGTAGAAACTTCCAGTTCTGAAAACAACTTCCTTACCTCATTGACAAATTGTAGAAATTTGGAAGTCTTGGATCTCTCAATAAATCCATTGTATACAAAACTTTCCAAAGCCATTGGAAACTTCTCTCATTCCCTACAGAAGATGGATATGCACTCTTGCAAAATTAATGGCAACATACCCTCAGAGATTGGGAATCTTACTAATTTGATTAGACTATCTTTGGGTGAAAATAGTCTGACTGGACCACTTCCAAGGACTATCAGCAATTTAAAAGCTCTTCAGTTTTTGAATTTTGAAGGCAATCAGCTACAAGGCTTAATCGTTGATGAGATTTGTGAGATTAAGAGACTTGTTTATCTTTATCTAAGTTTAAACAAGTTTTCTGGAGCAATGCCAACTTGCATAGGAAATATGACTTCTTTGCAAAAGCTTTTTGTGGGCTCCAATAAATTGATTTCAGTTATACCTTCTTCCTTTTGGAACTTAAATGATATATTGGAAGTAAATTTATCTTCCAATATTTTAGTTGGAAATCTTTCATTCAAAATTGGAAACTTAAAAGCTCTTACGTTATTGGATTTGTCAAGAAATAATCTTTCAAGCATCATTCCTATAACATTGGGTGGCTTGCAGAATCTACAAATTCTCTCCTTAGCACATAACACATTGCAAGGGAATATTCCTGAAACATTTGGAAATTTGCTAAGCTTGGTAAAGTTGGACCTCTCCCAAAATAATTTGTCTGGTGAAATCCCTAAATCTCTAGAGTCACTTGTTTATCTTAAGAACATCAATCTCTCTTATAATAAATTGCATGGAGAGATTCCAAATGGTGGGGCTTTTAAAAATTTAACTTTTGAGTCTTTCATGATGAATGACGCTCTTTGTGGCCAACCACGGTTGAGAGTGCCTCCATGTAGAAATGGAATAAGAAAAGGATCAATGACTAAATTGATCTTATTAAAAATTATATTACCCATTGTTGTGTCAACAATTTTAGTTGTTTTAGGTATCATACTATGGTGGAAACGACCAAATTCAAAAAATGATCAAGTTGAAAGGAATTGTTCAACTTTAGGAGTACCAAGAAGGATTTCTTATTTTGAGATTGTAGATGCAACTAATGGATTTGATGAGAGTAACTTGATTGGCCGCGGTAGCTATGGTTCTGTGTTCAAAGGAAAGCTTTTCAATGGGATTGTAGTTGCAATTAAAATCTTCAATTTTGATTCAGAAATAATGTCAAGGAGCTTTGAAGTAGAATGTGATACAATGCGTAATGTGCGCCATCGCAATTTGGTGAAGATCATTAGTAGTTGCTCTAATATTGATTTCAAGTGTTTGATAATGGAGTTCATGCCCAAAGGGAGCCTTGAAAAATGGTTATATTCTCATAACTATTGTTTAGACTTTCTTGAAAGATTGAATATAATGATAAACGTAGCATCTGCCTTAGAGTATCTTCATCATGGCTTGTCAACACCAATAGTTCATTGTGATTTAAAGCCAAGTAACATCTTGTTGGATGATAATATGGTTGGTCATGTGAGTGACTTTGGAATTTCCAAACTTTTAGATGAAGGGCAATCAAAGACACATACAGAAACAATTCCTACAATTGGCTATGTCGCACCTGGTAATTATTCATTCTCAACCTTATTTATTTATTTATTTCATCTCTTTTGAGTTTGTATTCTAAATATATATTAGTATTTTCTTGAAGATCTTTTTTAGATTATAATGGTGTAACCTTAATAGAAAATGCTAATAAAATATTACACACACACACAGTCTCAAATAAGTATGATATAATACTAAATTAGCTTTTGGCATATTAATTAATATTTGTGATATATGCTATGTACATATGTGTTAAAAAAAACATTAGATGTTCTTTTGATAAATAAGAGGCCCCATTGAACTATACAAGTTCTTTTTCTATGCAAGTGATAAGTCAGGAACTAGGCCCTCCCCCTAAAATCTTCTGGGAGAATTTTAGATAGAGCCTTCAAAATCTACATGTCTACAATAAGAGCCTAAAGGAATCAAAAATTTATTGCAAGCCTAAAACCCCTTCATGTAATTAAAATTTCAGTTGAAATGTTATAAATACCCTGACCTTTATGTTTTCTTAAAAAAGTGTATTACAATTGCAAGGAGGCCACCTCTACTGGTGGTGGTGCCACTAATGGCTAGTGCTTTGGTGTTGGCACCAATGATCAAATTTGGTTAAAAGGGGCCAAGGGGTGAAGGAAGAATTTGAACCTTTGACTCCTAGGTGTTGCAAAAAGTAGTTTACCAACTAAACTACCAAAATGATGTCATAATATATTACAAAATATAATCTATATGTTATATGTTTTATTTTTAAGCATTAATATAAGATAGTGTTAATTTTGAATGCATTATTGTTCATGTCTGAATAATTATTTGTAAATATGTGAACATGACTTGTTCATAAATAAAAAAGTTGTCAATTTTTAAAATATAACTTGTTTAATTTTTTTAACAACTTCTTCCTTCAATATTGATATGTTATCAAAATTATGTTAAATAATATATATATATATATATATGTTATAAATATATTTTTCAAGTATTTTCATGGGCTATGGTTAATCATTAACATATTGTTGTTCATGTCAAAACAATCACTTATAAACATTCAAACATGATTTAATTTGTTCATACATAAAAACTTTTTCAATTTTTTAGCCAACTTTTTGGTTTTTTAAGAACTTGGTCATACAACATTAACAGGCAAAATAATATATATATATATATATGTGTGTGTGTGTGTGTGTGTGTGTGTGTGTGTGTGTGTGTGTGTGTGTGTGTGTGTGTGTGTGTGTGTGTGTGTGTGTGTGTGTGTTATAAATTTATTTTTCAAGTATTTTCATGAACTATGGTTAGTCATTGATATATTATTATTCATATTAGAACAATCACTTATAAATACTGGAACATGACTTGCTTATACACAAAAGAAGTTGTCAATTTTTTAAACCCAACTTTTTCAATTTTTTTAATAATTTGTTTCTTTAGGATTGAAAGGTTATCAATATTATGCTTAATAAAAAAATATGTTATAAATTTATTTTTCAAGCATTTTCATATGCTTTGGTCAATCATGGCCATGTTATTATTTATATCTGAACAATTACTTGTAAATATTTGAATATAACTTGTTTATTACTATAGAAAACCTTTATGAGGGCGCTTTTTTTTTTTTGGCCTAGGGATAGCTCTCAAGTAAAAAAGAGAGCGCTTACAAAGTGCTCCTGTAGGGTCTGCCTACGGAAGCACTTTTTCTAAAAAGTGCTCCTGTATAGATTGACCTATGGGAGCATTTTCAATGTAAGCACTCCTATATAGATGGCATATGGGAGCACTCTAACAACAAACACTTCCACATGTAGGCATACTACATACAAGAGTATTCATCGTTAGAGCGCTCCCATAATATGGGAGCACTCGTTTAGTGAACACTCCGAAAGGCTTGATATAAAGGAGCACTTTTTTGAAAAAGCACTTCGATAAGTTCCGCCTCAACTTATCAAAGCATTTTTTTCTATTTAAGTACTCCTAAAGACTTGCTTCGAAAAATGTATGTTATAGTAGTGGTTCATACATAAAAAATTGTCATATATTTATACATATTTACAAGCTATGTTTAAATATTTACAAGTAATTGTTTGGATATGAACAATAACGTATCCATCATTAACTAGAGTCCATGAAAATGATTGAAAAATAAATCCATAACATCTATATATATATAGATTATTTACCTGTTAATATTGAATGAACAAGTTCTTAAAAAAAACCAAAAAGTTGGGTTTAAAAAAATTGAAAACCTTTTTATGCATGAATAAGTTATGTTCGAATATTTATCCCATGCCTTGTCACTCACCACATTACGACAACTCATGTCATATTATCTTACACCTCGCACCATATCACCCACTCACTACCATGTCACATATTCATTATGTTTATACCAAGACTATAACTTGAACCCTTAACCTCCTACCTTCCTCACTTCTTCTTTGTTAGTTGATCTAAAATGTACCTACATTTATTATTGATAAACTAAATATATGTTATTCAACTATACAATTATAACAAACAATATATTATTAAAATAGACGTGTATATTATATTTTATTTTCAATTATTAATATGTTAAAATATTTATATTTGTATTTATATGACTCTTTATATTATATTTTTTTAATAAAAATATTATTTTTTGTATGGAAAATGAACTTGAAATAAATAGAATATTAAATAGTAAATAATTTTATTATGAATATTTTAGTCAATTTTTAAATTTGATTTTATTTTTTGAATAAAAATAATTAAATATATAATAAATTAAAATTTATTTTCAAAAGTCAATTTTTTTTGCAGTAATTAGTTAGGGATATAATACCTCAATAATTATTTTATTTTAGAGAGGGATAATAGTTCCTTGCTATTTTTTTTGTTAATTATCTTATGCTAAAGAGGAATTGTCAATCCCTCACAATTTTCTTCACTAATTATTTTATTTTAGAGAAGGATTGATATTCACTCACTATTTTTCTCACTAATTTTAAATCTACCTATACAATTAACATCCCTCACTAATTTGGCATTTTAGAGAATAATAAACAATCCCTCGCTAATTGATATTTTTCTAGTAGTGATATGTCCATGATTAGTAGCAACCCACATTAATACTTGAAAACAAAAGCTATAATATATATACATATTATTTTATAATATATTATTATATGACTTTGGTAGTTCAATGGTAAACTACCTTTTACAACACCAAGAGTTCAAATCTTTCCTTGACATATTTGACCAAATTTGATTGCCGGTGCTAGTGCCTGAGCTCTAGCAACTAGTGATAGTGGGCTGACTATCGGCAGTGGTGGCCTCTCTATTGGTGACGAAGGTTATGTGACTTTACCAGCCAGTGATTATAACACTTAAAAAAAAAAAAGCGGCAAGGTAATTATGATATTAGAGCAAATATTTTAATTACATGAAGAGCTCTTGGGCCTACAAAGGAATTTCATATTCCTTTAAGCTGTTGATGTAGATATGTTGTTTTTAAGAGCGTTATTAGAAATTCTCCCAATCTTTTATCCCCGCATACAAGGGGTGAGGGTATTGGGTTTTTCCTTTAAAATTTTATGTGAAGTTGGTTCCTGCTGTAAAAGAAAAAAGAAAAAGAGAGATTTATGTTTTTATGCATTTTACAATCCTTGAGCTAAGTACAAATAGTTTATTTTAGAACATCGACAGCTTTTTTGTCATTATTTTGGTATAAAAATATACGACTTAAGAATTATCATATGTACTATATAAATTTTAACATATGATCATATATTAATAAGAAAGCTTAAAGAAACTAAGAACAACACAATTTATTTCCCTATCATCTTTTATTGATATAAAAGTGATGTCTTTGTTAGCTTTTAGTTTTTAAATTGCATAAGAACTTTATTTTAACTAAAATTTAATCATGTGCAGAATATGGATCTTCTGGAGTTGTTTCAACTAAAGTAGATGTATATAGCTATGGAATTATATTGAAAGAAGTCTTCACAAGGAAAAAACCAACCGACAATATGTTTGTTTCAGGATTGAGCTTAAAGGGTTGGGTAAGTGTGTCAATGCCACATGCAATAATTCAAGTCATAGACTCCAATTTATTACAAGAAGATGAACAACATGTTGATCATATCTTACAAGCCACATCCTCTATTTTTGAATTAGCCTTGAGTTGTTGTACTGATATTCCAGAAACACGTAGCAATATGATAGATGTTGTAGTGTCATTAAACAAGATCAAGGCCAAATTTATGCAAGGTCAGAAATGTCATATTTGAACATGCATGCGCTTTATTTGCAATTAAGCAGTTTGGACATATTTATTACCTAGTGATAAAGGGATGTTTATTTTTCCCAAGACATTGAACAAAATATTTTTTGTAATGCTTGATGTATTTTTTTTTTGGTAAGATGCAATGCTTGATGTATTAGTTTGAGCTTTTTGATCAATGAAATTTAAGAGCCATATAAAGTTTTCAAATTGCTTTACTAAAATTCTATCCAAATCTAATCAGGACGTAGTTGATCTGAAATGCGAGGAGAAAGGGAGGAGGGGGAGACAAGAATAAAGGAAGGAGAAAATAAATGAATTCAAGTGAGAGAGTGAAATAATGCATAGTCATATATGCACCCAATTAACAAAGCTATATAGGATGCAACATAAGTCATTCTTCCCTAAGAATTTGAGTTTAATTGAACTATAATGATTATAAAGTGTAAATAAAAAACCAAAAACTTGGCTTTCATTAATTTTCTAAAATGTAATTACTAGAATTACCGTAAACTAGTATTTATGCTATTTTCGATTTTAATGGAAAACAAGTGTATGAGTGAATGTGTGTTTCTAATAAATCAATCGATGTTATTCTGAGGAGTATGATAGTGAAACAATCCTCTTTTCAATCAATTAATTTGCTAAACATGATTCTCATTGGCCAAATTTAGTTCGATAACTTTCCCAAAACATAACAAATATAGTCACACACATAATCCTAAACCTTTAGTGATAATGTAATGAATTAGGTTTGACTCATTAAGCACCCAAAGTGTTATTATTCATTGAACTAGCAAAGAACATCCCCTAAATAGTGCCTAACCAAGGTTCATTTCTAAATTAAACCTAGATAAGGCATGCCAAAGCCTCACAATCACTACCAAAAAATATTAAGATAGAGACAAAAATTAGAGATGGCCTAGTTATAATCTCCAATGGAGATGAAAATAGAGACTAATTATATTTTTAGAGATAGATTTAATTTAAAAAATATTTTAAAATATAGAGATATATCTAGAGATGACTTGTATACATCTCTAAAAAGCGTCACAAAATTTATCTCAACTTTTGTCATTATTCATTAAAAATTTATTTTTTTAAAAAATTAAAATGTAGAGACTAGTTTAGAGACAAATAAATTCTATCCCTAAACTAGCCATCTCTAAATCCACCTCTAATATTAATTTTACATTTTTTTAAATTCAGATACTAAATTTGAGACACTTTTTTATGAATTTAGAGACAAAAATTTAACCATATATAATTCCCTGTCTATATTTCTTTAAAATGTCATAATTTTATTTTTATTAATTTTGAGACAAAATTAGAGACGATTGAAATAAATATATTTGGGATGGAATTATTTTTGTTTCTCAATGCATCTCTAATTCAAAGTAGACACAGATTTAGAGATAGAGTCATATTTTTAATTTTTGGATTATCAATTCTTTATTACATGTTTGAAATATAATAAAATCCAAAGTAATTTTAAAAGATGTAGGAAAAATTTCATCATTTTTTAATGAACTTCCCATTCAAGGCAAACAGCAAAAATTTGATGTTTGTATTCAAAAAAAAATTATCTTCAAAATTTATATAATGTTTGAAAATATTTTGCATATCATTCAAAAGCTAGTGTAACTTTACATATGCTATTACCTTAAACCATTAATAATCTTGCAATTTTTAAAGCCTATCAATTTTTCACTGTAGAACCAGAGTATTCTTCCCTTCATATTATTTATTTTTGATGTGGTCCCATTATTCTCCAATGTCTCCTACTATTCAGTTTCTCGAATTTTCTAGTTCTATCTCTGGTTTTCTTCCTTCTCCAATATCTCACAAGGTCGAGCTCCTAACCCTTAACGGACCTCAAGAGTTCGATTACCTCGACGATGTCTACATTCTGGACAAGGCCAAGGACCTTGAAATTGACCTTCTATACTCTTGCTGGCTTGAATCATGCTCTTCCTGCATGGCAAGATGATGGAAGGAAAAATCGACCGGTCTTAAGACAGTTTTTTGGATGACAGCCAAATCGACGGCAGATTCATCTTCACTTGCGTTACCCACCCATAGTCTAATATCCTTACCAGCATGGCCTCCGCTTTCTTCATTTCTTTGGAATGATGCTCTTGTATCAACCTTAGCACCAACGATAACGACGATGATGACAAAGCTTCCGACTACCCTCTTATGCTCTCAACTCATTGATTCCACCCACTGATGACGATTCTCGTCAGTAACTCTATCAGCTTTTTCTTTTTTCATAATTCACTAATCCAATAATTTACTTATGTGTATATAATGCTTGGAGTACCAATGGTGCTTGTTTCTCTTGATTTAATTTATATCTTGACTTAATTTATGTAGAATCAATGTAATGCCCAAATCCCTATAGACAGCTAAGAGATTTTCGTAACAGAAGCCAAAGTTTCATGGTTCACTCAAATAATTACTACAATCTGAAGATTAAGCAAATTTTGGTTTTAGGTAATTTGTTAAAACAAATTGTGCTGCGAGTTAGCATTTTTTAACATTAATAGTTCTTTTTCCTTTGTTTTTGAATTGTAGTGGAGAATCACATGGATCATAATGCAGAGATTTTAGAATGTGTTTTGAAGTTGATTAATATCCCTGGTAGTAGATTGCACTGTAGGGCATGTAAATATTTTCATTTTTTTGGATGCAACATTGAGCATGCGACTTAGTTTTCACATATAAATTTTTAAATTTCTTTAAGAGGAAAATTTTTCAGAGGGCAAAAAATTGATATGTTGACGAACATCCACTTTGCTTGATGTTATATCTAAATACAACTTTTCCTTTCCATGGCATTAATCATTAATATTTGATGCGTTACCACTACTATCATTATAGTCTCAATGTAGGTGTGAATGAATGAACTTTTAGGATTTGTCAATAATAAAGCATATGAAAATAGTCTACCTGCTCACAATGTTTTCAGGAGGCCTTGACAAATAAGCGAATATGACCTAAATTAGGATTCATCTCAACTATAATTCAAGACAAGACGGCTTTGACATCAAACTTTTCAGATGACTTTGTGAATAGCAGAACGGGAATGGAAATGAAAACAACTCCTCTAATATCTATGGAAATCTTTAGGCTTTAGCCATAAGTTTGATGATTCCTTAGATAAGGATGTTGTGTTCATATTATATGTTTCTTTAGGTGCTTACTTTTAAGGCTGGTAGAAACTACAAGATGCTTTACGATCTAAAGCAGGTTTAGGTTTGCACTTTTCAAAGAATCTAGTGTAAGTGTTTGAGAGGGCGATGATGAATGTATTGTTGCAAAAAGTCAAAGCAAACCTAAGGTTTGTGTACCCTTTCCTACTGGGTTTTATAATCTCCCATGTAGCTGATAAACAAATTAATTTGTGAGCATGTTGTTACGGCCTTAGAACTCCCTGTTAGGTTGTCCAAATATGAGTGGATATAAGATGATGTAGGAAGTTTCATATTGAATAAAGTTAGACTCAATAACTAATATATAGTAAAAAAAGGAACAACCCATAAACTTGAGCCTTAAAGTTTTGAAGTAAGATGTGGCGTCATTACACTCTTCTTGCCTGTCTCTCCTCTACCCCCATTCTTGGGCAGTTGCTCCTCATTGTTAAAAAGTGGTATCAAAGCCAAGTTTTTGTTCGGGACCTGTAAGCTCGTTATTGTGCACACAATTAAAGCTCAAAATGGAACTAGCCCTAATTGCAATAGAGACTTGTGTGTGTCATACCATTTGAAGCTCGAAAACTAGGCTAGCCCTAAAAAATAAGAATTTAGTGTTTAAGGCGTCATTAATATGGGGAACTTGTAGACTCACACTTGAGGGGAAGATTGTTGGGTTGTCCAAATATGAGTGGACATAAGATAATGTAAAAAATCTCACATTAGATAAAATTAGGCTTAATAATTGATATATTATAAAGAAGAAGGACCCATAAACTTGAGCCTTAAGGTTTTGAGTTAAGATGTGGCATCCTTTCGCTACTCTTGCCTGTCTCTCCTCTCCCCCCATTCTCAAGCATTCGCTCTCTATTTCTAACACTGGAGCTAGAATTCTGGCCAAGCCTGATAGGCTAACTTAAACCCACTTGAAAATTTTAGGGCAAGCCCAAAAAAATTATTCTTTTTAATGTTTAGTCCTATTTAGGTTGGTTTGAATAGGCTTGAGAAAATTGAAGCCAAGCCTGATCGAGTTCGGGCTTAACTTTAATATTCAAATGAAAAAATAATTTTTCAAAATATATAAAATATAATAAATATTAATTAATTCTTTAAATTTTATGTCATTTTATATTAAAATACTATATATTGGAGTGCATTATTATATTTATTTTTAAAAAATTAAAAATATTTATATTTTCATATTTTTATTATTTTTTAATCAATAAAACATCTCAAAATAATATTTAAAATATATTTTTATATTTATTTTTATATTTTTAAGACCCATTTTTTTTAAAAAAATTGTGAGTCCTACACATCATTTGCATATCCAAAAAATATATTTTATATTTTTTTATAAAATAAGATAATTAATTTTAAAGTAAAAATAAAATTTAAAATAATTTTATATAATAAAATTCAGGCATGTAGAAATTCACGGATCTACTATCAGATAAACATAATAAATAGAATAATATTCTTGAATAATTCTTTAGTTATCATCCATACCAAACTTTGTTAAAAATTAAGAATAAACTAAAGTAAAAATTCCTTATATGTAATAGTTAAACAATACAAAAAGTTAAAGAAAAAACAACTTAAAAAAAACTATTTTACTTATAATTAAATGATTTTGTTTTATATAATCTAATGATGGCTATCTTTTTTTATATTCTTAAAAATAAAAAGTACAGTGTACCTAAAAGTTATTAAAAAATTTGAACTAATCGGTACAATGATTTTAAGTTAATAGTTTAATCGTAATTAAATTGAGATCAACTTGATCATAATTAAATAATATAATTTAATTAAAATATATAAAATATTTATATACGACCATGATAAGAACAATATTTAAACAACTAAAATATTAATTTGCAAGTAAATGAGATAATCATGAATAAGTT